CTATTCTCGTTATATACATTTTATTCATTAGCCATAGAAACCATCCTTTATTAAACTACCTAACTCATATTTTTGTTAAACTAATTTATAGCGTCATGCCAAAATTCCTGTTACCATTTTAGTTTGAATTTGCGTTCTTTCCCAATACAAATCGCTTACTCTGTAACCATCACCTCGTATGGTAGACAAACATATACTTACGTGTCGAGTACTAATAGAAGCGGTCAATGGCACTTGGTGTATAATGTTTGCAAACGGCTCCGAAACTGTGACTATCATTTTTTGGAACCTTTAAACAATTTCGCATCCATAGAACTAGAAGTAATTAAAAAAAATTAATTTATCAGGCGTCCTTCACGTTGCTTATACGCACCATAATACCATTAAATAAATTTTCGAAGAAAAACCATATAAAAATGTTTACTTTTTAATTCTAAAATAAATGTATATTAAATTATACATAAAATATAACCATTTTAATTTAGTTTCGCATTATCTCTATTTTTAAAATATGAATTTTTACATAATAATTTTGCTTATAAAATAATAATATAATATAAAAATATAATAAAATTTTGCTTATATTGATGAATTAAAAAATTTATTATTAAAAAGGTTTCCGATTTGTAAAAGAATGACCCATATACAGTGTGAAAAAAAATCATCGCCATTAACATTTATGTGGCAGAAAAGTACACTTATGAGGTACTATTTAGTGTACATAACAATTCAACGAGACAAAATGTCCTTGCCTTGTCCGCCCATGTATCTATCTGTCTGTATATCTATGTCTCTCAATTTTCAATATGGCGGTACGAAACTTTACTTATAGACTTGTGTACCAATATTAAGCATTTAGTAAAATTTCCATAATATTTTAACTATATCCCTTAGATGTTGTAGAAATTCAATCATCCATTTTTTTTTACATTTTCTAAATCCGTGGTACACAAGTGTTTCCTCTAAAAATTTTTTTGTCCATCGCTCATTGACAACCAGCTTTAATTTTCAGTCTTCTATTTCCATCATTCTTTTTATTTTTTGGACGTACTTTTCTTCTTTTGTCAATAAACGTTTTAACAAAATTTATTTGGCATATTTAGAAAACAAGATCCTTTTTATATTTTTCTCATATCTTATACTTAGTATATTATCGTTGTAGCAAGTCTACAATGAGCCATCTACTCGTATTTGTTATGTAGGACTAGGATTTTTTGCTCGCGTGATACTATTTTGGACTTTAAAAGTCTTAAATGGTCGTAAATAGTTTTATTAACTAACTGTATTCTTTATCACATTTAAACTGATGCATTTTCTTATTACAAATTCTCAGCCGTATATACTGAAGAATATCTCAAACCTAAAATTATATTTTGTTTGAATCACATTGAGCTATTAAAGATTTTCTTTTATTATTTCAGTAGCTTTACGTAAGATAACTCTAATATAACCAGTTCTAAAGTTTGAAGTTAAATCCATATTTTTTCTCTTGTATTATCATTCATTATGTTATATCCTTATCTGTACAAAGCAAATAACTATTTGTATTTTAAAAATATAAAAAAAAAATTCGCAAATAAAACAATATTTTCTCGATTTTTACAATAATTAAATAACGATATATTAACAAAAAAAAATCAAATTCAAATAAAATATTTTTATATTTTTACATTTCTAAAAAATATATTTAAATAATAGAAAGAAGACATAAAATAAAATAATTCAGAAATAGTTTTAAATTATAATCAATGACTTAAATACAATAACACAACTCAATAATAAGTGAAAATATATTTTAGTGTGCAGAAAATTTATACAAATTATGAATACAAAAAGAAATATGTATATATATAAATTTCTATGAAATTATTTCATATGTATTTTTATTTAAAAATGTATTTCATTTATTTATTGGCATAACTATGCGTTTCATTTATGTAGTTTTAAAAGTACCTTGATAATTGCGTTTATTTATTTATAATGTTTTGTAAAAATTATTTACGCTACGATAGTTTTTGTTTTAGTAATTATTTTAAAATACAATATCGGAGTTTGTTTTGGCTTAAATGTAAGCTTTTACATATATATAAAATCTTTTTTTTTTCATTTGTAGTAGTAGTAAAAATGTTGGAATTTGATAAATTACAAAATCTGTGTAATCTATATAAAAAAATTAATACAACAAATTATTGTTTAGCTTTAAATGCTTTAATATGATTTAAAATATTGGTATGTTTATTAAAATACTGCATTGTTAATAATTTTAATAATAAATTACTATTTGTTGTCGTTTTGGATTTTTCGTTGTTAATACAATGTATCGTATCGACATATATAAGAAATACTTGTGCTAGAATCATAATACGTCACTACATATTACAGTATTACTATTAAAGAATAGTTACGCCCTAGATACATATATGTATATAGTGATATATAAAACTTATAGATTGATAAAAATATTATTTTTATGCAGGGCACTTAAGAATCATTCTTATTTTTTCAAATAAAATATAAGAATATTTATTTTAAAAATTTTAACTACGTTAAAAATGATTACTTTAAAAAGTTGTGCGTTGTTAATTTACTAAAATTTTAATTTTAATAATTTTTAAATGACATTGTAAAATATATTTTTTTAAATTACAATTAAATATATTAATGGACTAAATGCTTACAAAAATTGCATACATAATATTAAATTTTATTTAAAATAAAACAGTTTATTGTTTAGTGCCATATTAATAACTATTATTTAATACCCATCATCAACCTCTAATCGCAAACAAAATATTTAAGTTTATAGCAGTTTAAGAATTACTAACCGAGTTGCCAAAAATGTTAACTGCAAACTATTACAGAGCAGCACTTGAAATGATACTGTATCTGCCTGATATATACTAATAAAGTTAAAGCAGGCCTACAATCTGAACAGTTAACTTCGTAAAATGCATTAAATTAGTTTCAAAAATAAAAACAAAAGAACATCTAAAATATTGTTTTCTAAAATTATTAAATTAAATCAAACATTGAAAATATTCTCATTACTAAGGATATTTTTAATATGGAGATTTAATTGGCTTACCAAATTTCAATTTTCAATAATCTATTTCCAATAGATAGTTTATTATATAAATGAATTTAATAAAGCGGTTTTTCAAACAGTAGTGAACTACAACAACAAAAATAATTTTATATTATATTAAATGAATATTTGACTAACCATACAGCTGTTACGAGTATTGTCAAATAACCATCATCAGTGGTCTTGGAAATAGTTCTTATATTTAATTATTCGTAAATAATTTTTGAGATTGCAAGTACCAGGATTGAACTCATGTCCTGCCAAATTTGAATCTGAGTCAGCGCTCCTTAACCAACTGACCCAAAGCCGTACTTGATTTTCAAGTTCTCACATTTTTCTTGAGTTTCGTTACTTTGCTGTGGAAGTTTTATTAACAAATTCACTTGCTATGTTTATATTAGAACGAAATCATAAACCAGCTGTAGAATAATTGAATTAATTAATTATATTTTAATTTTTAATTGTTAAATTTATAAATATTTACTCCTTTTTAAGAATTTACTTTATGTATTGAATTTATATTTTTTTCCAATATTTATCAGTTACATATGTCTACATTTTACGTACTTTTTCATACAAAATATCTGCAATATTATTAGAATTCTTATTTATTATTTTATTTAAATAATTTTTTGTATTACCAGCTTATATATATTTAAATAAGGTGTTTTATTTCCTTTATAATCAAACCAAATACTGTATAAATCTTTAAAAGCTTTCGGTGCATTAGATCCAGACTTACTTAAAATACCCGTCATATTAGATAAATTCACTCCTTCTTACTCCAGTGTTATTAAGTATTGTGTTCTATTTTCCTGATCGTCGAACCACAATTTATATGTCTTTAAAGGCTTTAGCAGTATTGATACCTGCACCACATAATACGCTAGATATATTAGTAAGTTGTATATCTTCCTTGTCTAAAGTTTTTAAATAATGCCTTTTGTTTCCATCTTTATCAAACCACAATTCATAAAGCTCTTTAAATGCATTTGATGCACCGGAGTCTACTCCATGTAAAATACTGCATACAAGATTTATATATCTTTTTCCATAGCATTTAAGTAAGCTGTTTTATTTCCTTTATCATTAAACCAAAGACCATATAGACTTTTAAAGGCGCTTGCTGCATTATTTCCAGCCTTGTGCAAAATACTAGATATATTGCTAAGACTTATACCCTTCTCTTCTATATTTGTTAAGTACTTTGTTTTATTTCCGTCTTTGTTAAAGCATAAGTCGTAGAAGTCTACAAAAGCTTTCTTAGCATTTGAACCAGCGCCACTTAAAATGCTTGATATTTTGTTAAGATTTATGCCTTCCTTCTCAAAGCTTTTTAAGTACTTTGATTTATTACCCTCTTCATTAAACCACAGATCAAACAACTCTTTAAATGATTTTGCTGCATTACTTTTTACTTTGCTTAAAACTCCAGTGACATTAGACAGATTTATTTCTTCTTTTTCAATTGTTTTTAAATACTGAGTTTTATTGCCCACATCATCAAACCAAAGGTTACATAAATCCTTAAAATATTTTGCAGCATTAGGACCAGCACCATTCAAAACACTAGACACATTGAATAAATTTATGCCTTGCTATTCAAGTGTTTTCATATAACGTGTTTTATTACCATGTCTATCAAACCACAGATCGTATAGGTCCTTATAGGCTTTCGCGGCATTAATTCCGGATTTACTTAAAATTCCAGTCATGCTGAGTAAACTTATTACTTGCCTTTCAAGTGTGTCTAAGTAAATCAAATCATAAATTATACAAGTCTTTATAAGCTTTCACAGCATTACCTCCAGATCCACATAAAATACTGGACATATTCGGAAAGTTTATATTATTTTTTTCTAAAGTAATTAAATATTGCGTTTTCTTTCCTGTATCATCAACCCATAGATCGTATAATTCACTAAAGGCATTTGGTGCATTACCGTATGATTTATCTAAAATGCTAGTCATGTAATGAAATTTTACTCCTTGCTCCTTCAAAGTTTTAAGTTTTTCTTCTTTCAGCAATAATTCTAAATGTTTATTAAAGGCTGGCGATCCTTCTTTGCCAGCTACATTCTTGGCAAATTTAAACTCTTCGCGTTTTGCAGGAACTGCAGTTGCGGTTTTCTTAGCCCGTTTCGTATTTGCCATTTTGACTTTTTGATTATTTATAGATGTGTGCTCAGTGGGATCTTGGTAAGTCTTTTAATTAATGAACCTAAAATGATTATAATTAAATAAATTAGATTTTTAATTATGGCAAACACTTATGGATTTAGTATTTGAAGCAGCAAGTCTTTAAAAGTTATTTTGTTTTTAAAAAGCTTTAAAAAATGATTCTATATTACAATAAACTAAACTACTTTCAAGAATAGATTGTTTTAAATACAAAAAATTTATGCAATATGTAATATAGATATAATAGATAAATATCTAGGTTTAATCGTTCTATTAAAACCAGAAATAATTTTGTATTAACATCTATACATATTCGTAAAGAGGAAATAAATTAGTATTAGAATATATTATAATGGAATATAATTAAATTTAAAGAGATCCACGTAAATCGGAAAGGAATGACTAAAGTTTTATGAAATATCTTTAGTTAATGTGTTACTCTTTATTAACAGATTTAAATGGAAAGTTAAAGAAACAAATCTGCTTTATAATTAGTTTTATGAGTAAATTATTTTCTTTGCAGATATATTCTATCACAGGACCAAAAATGTTAATAGTTTTTTCTATAATTAATTTTGTTTTTCTTTACATAGAAAAATAGAATTTAAAATGACATTGATATATGTTAAGAAAACAACATGAGAAATGTAGATAAATTTTTATCTACAGCTTTGAATTAAAGAAATGATTTCGAGAATTATTTTTCCATGGATCCCCAAATTCTAATTTGTATTTAAATACTTTTAAATGAATATATTGGATGACTTACTACTTGTTTAAATGTAGAACAAAAAAATTACTATGTAGTACTGTTAATACCAGGCCATCGAACTGGAACCAAATCGAAAATCAAAAAACCGATATTTTCTTAGGAACGAAAACCGGAACCGAACCGATATATTTCTTTTGTCTTGAACTGGAACGGAAAAAATTCTGGTTCGTTGCCCTGGTTAAAACTTTGCTTTTAAAATAAGTTGACTCTATATACGTAAGATAAATATTACAAAGAAATCAGAAAAAAATATATAGCAAAAATAAGTTAACTTAAATATTTTTGTTTACGATTGAAACGATTAAAGGCTTTCATACCATTCACACATTTTTAAACTACTCATATTTTAACCATTTTAATCCAATTAAAATTTTCTTAACTAATGGCACTTTAACTTAAAAAAGTTTTACAATAATTTTTTTTTGTTATTTTTTCTTTTTGGTCATTTACAACAACAATTGCATTAATTGCTTAAAGATCTAATCAAGACGAACAAAAACATTTGCATAGCTTTGATAAAATCGCTTAAATCACATTGAAATATAATATTTGTATTAGAACTAATATTTTGAATAATTTTCGATATAATTACATACAATAAAATTTAAATGCTACAGTCAATATTTTTTATATAAAATGTGTATATATAATTAAAAAAAAATTAATAAATCTAATAAAAACAACAAAAATTTGGCAAAATTTTATATAAAATTTTCTTTGAAATTTTTCAATTAAAAAAAATTTAGTTATAGAAGGGGCCGTGCACCTCTCCAAGTATATATAATTTCGTTACTTAAGTATTATTACTTATTTACTTAATACATTTTTATACTATAGTTTATTTTTACTTAACATACTACTATTATTATAAAAATAATCGTTGAGTGTAAAAATGTTGGTTAACTTTGTTGAATATGTATTAATACAGGGTGCTGTTGATGAACCGATGTCGATAATATGCTAGAGCGCAAAATTGTTACAGATCTGAAAAAAAAAAACGGAAATAAAGTTATTAAAATGTCAGCAATTTTTGCATATTGTAATTATATAAAATAGTGGTACCCAAATTAGTTTAAATTAATTAGTCGATTAAAACGAAGAGATCTCTGAAAATAATTTTTTTTTGTGTGTATGGATTATAAAATACGTCCATAAAGTATAAGCCTATAAAAAATGAAATTAATTAAATGGAACAAATTTAAAAGTATAAATAAAAAGGTTTTAAAGATAAGATATATAAAAATCAAACTAAACTCCACAATTAAGTTTTATTTAAATTTTGTGAAACAACAGTATACTGAAAGTATTAAAGATTATACAGCATATCCTCTTACTTAGTTTCTAGAAAACTTCATTCACTTAAACTCAAAGAAATTATTAAAATTGAAAATAATAGAAGGGACTAACACACTTTTAAAAATCATATAATAAATATGGCTGTAAGAGGTGGTCGTGAACTACATCGTTGATTCATAAGATCCTAACTCTTATTAATAGGAACAGGCGATGTACTATCTGTGTATAGTGGCCTGTAATAATTTCAAATGAAGACCTTTGTCGTTTTACCAATCAGGAACCAATAGAAGGAACCAATTTTACAATTTTACAAATGTACGGATGGTTAGGTCACACATTAAGAACACCAACAGATGCAATTGCTCATGTTATCATTAAATGGAATTCCCAAGCAGTGAGAAGACCAAGTTGACTGAAAACTACTTGGCATAGGACAACAGCGAATAATACACAGAGAACTTTTAGCTAGCTACGTTTTTCCGCAAGAAACAGGGACGAATGCAAAGAATTTATACGTACTATTTGAGAAGAGTCTAAGTTCAAAATTTATTTTGTAAAGTGAGTACATTTCAAATAAAATAATAATAATACACTTTGAAACAAAAAAAGAGTGTTGTTAAACTTCCCTTTGCAAGCCGACAGAACAAGTAAGTAAAATCATCAGTTATAATTTATGGTAATACTAACATGAGCACATGAAAAGCTTTTTTGCTTATAAGCATATATAAGCATTTGGGCAAGACTGCGATTTATTTCTTAACATAGTCTCTTTTTAGGATATCTTGATGCAAAAGCGTTTATCGATGTTAAATCTCCCAAGAGTCGCTAATTGTTTTACCCTTTTCAAGGTAATCAATGTAACAGTTGCCTCCCAAAAAATGTCGCCTGATCTCATTGGTCGAAACCCACCTTGATCTTCTTTGGTGCACATTCCGCCGAAGACGTTTATTATCCACCGCGTTTACAGTTTGTTCAAGTCTAAATATTCATGTAAAATGTGATATATCACATTTGAGCAGTTGCGATACCTACAGCCTTAGTCATCTCGCAAACATTCACTTGTGGAACGTCTAGCACTATGTCATGGATTTAATCTACGATTTTTGACGTCACGACTTGTTTAAAGCGACTTCAACAACCGGTGTGACTTGTGCTGGTACGACCCATACCACTTCAGTTAACTATTTGCTACATTTAAAATAACTACGCAAGTTCAAAACGTTAAATTATCAGACTGCCCTCATAACCAAATGTTATTAATTTTTCTAAATATTAATTCAGATAAATATACATTTTGTTAAATAGCCACACGTTTAATAAATAATTTCAAAAGTCACCCTCAGACGTACATCACACAATGAATACTTAATGAAAATCGCAAAATAAGCGTTTATAATTTGCAATATTTTTTCTCTGATTCGCATACAATCGTATTACTTTATAGTACACATAATAAGTTCAAGCTGAAATTTATTCTGTATTAAATACCATTTATTGAAATAAACACAATAGAATTGCTATTGCAATCGAATTATAATACTACAATAGATTTATTACAATTAAATCGCAGGGTTCTATTTAAATAGAACACTGAAAGTATTACATCACTCAATAAGTCGTGGAACTGACATACAGATGACGCTGCCATTATCAAATATATATGACGTTTATGAAGTACCAACCTTCAAAAGACTTTGTGTAAAATTTCATGACATTTCGATAAGTCAGAAAAAAAGTGACAGCCATTTAAGTGAAGCTACTTTTGTTATTTTCAAAACAATTTCGTGTGTTAATTTATCATTGCTTCTTGATGAAAAAAAATACTGCACAAGCTCAGCAATGGCTTCAAAAATGTTATTCGGACTTTGCTCCATTGAAAAGAACCATTTGTTATTGGTGTACTGAATTTAAACGTGGTCGTACAGACACCGATGATGGTGAACGTTCTGGTTGTCCGATTAAGGTGGTTACTCCAGAAAACATCAAAAAAGTCCAGAAATTGGTCATATCTGATCGTCAATTTCAAAGTGGATGCCACGTTAACTCACAGTCGATCAAAAACACCAAGGTGTTGATGATTCAGAGCAGTGTTTGGCCATGTTTACACGTAATAAATCAGATTTTTTGCGTTGATATGTGACAATGGATGAAACATCGATCCATCACTTCACTCCGGAATCAAAACGATCATCATCTGAGTGGACTACAGCCGATGAACTACGTCCGAAGCGTCCAAAGACAGGTTATGGCTTTTGGGATGCACAGGGTATAATCTTCATTAACTATCTCGAAAAGGGAAAAACTATCAATAATAAATTCTATATGGCATTACTGAATCGTTTGAAAGCAAAAAATTGTGAAAAAATGTCCGCATATGGCGAAGAAAAAAATTTTGTTTCACCAAGTCAATGCACCACGTCACAAGTCAATAAAAACTATGACAAAATTACACGAATTATATTTCGAATTGCTTCCTCATCCACCGTATAGTCCAGGTCTAGCTCCCAGACTACTGGCTATTCGCTGATCTCAAAAAATGCTGGCCGGTAAAAAATTCATCTCAAATGAAGAAAAAATTGCTGAAACTGACATTCTTTTCTATTTTGAGGTAAAAGACAAATCCTTCAACAAACATGGTATCGAGAAGTTAGAGAAGCGTTGGAATGATTGTTTTGCCCTTGGAGAAGATTATATTGATGAGTAAAGTCGATTTTTGGCAAAAAAATTTGTTTTTCTTAGTTAGTTACACGCTTTATTGAGTGATGATATAATTCAGCAGATTTAACTGATTCGTTTCGAAATTACAGTTTATTTTTTATCATTTTATATAATAAATCAAAATTACAAGCATAAACATCTATTTCAAAAAAATAGCTGTGTTATAAGTATTGTTTTATAAGTCAATACCGACTTAATGAAAAAGAAAGGATTCTCTATTTTGTGGTTCTTTAAGTAAACATAAGAAACACATTAGTGATAGAGATTTTAAATTAATTTTTATTTCAATATATTATTTGGGCCTTGCACCATTAGAATGTCCTCCACGGGATATTTTATAGTGATGGATCCTTTTAAGGTAATTTGCAATTACTTGTCTGATAGATTTTCGTTTTTAATGCATTGAGAGTCGAAACACGATCGCTCGCTTAAGCGGACAAATAATAGTCAAATCGTAGCAAATCGTACAATTTTGGTTAACAATTCACATTACTATGACGTGAAACTTTAAATCCGGATAATTTCTCTAGCAACAAACTAAAAAGAAGACGTGTTGTGTGCTGTTGAAACCATTAATCTTTAAGCTTAGGCTCTGATCCTTCAGATCATTACATTTCATATAAATTTAATAAAATCTATAATTCGAACTCTTATGTTACAAAAATTTTGAGAAAATTTATATTTCTTTCCATTATCGGAACAAAGCTCTGAAATAAATAAATAATAATAAATCTGAAAATTAAATCGTAATAATAAAACGAACTTAATAGCTAAACAAACAGTACACAAAAATCCAGAGATCAGGCATATTTTCTTAAATCAAAATAATCAGATAACCCATATCAAACAGTAAATAGACACTATTTGACAAGAACTTCTTTATTGCCTACGTAGTTTGTCTTTGATGTGGGTAAATAAAGTCATTAGGTGTTAAATGAAGGCTTTGTGACGAATGACCCATAAATTATATATTTTGAATGGTTAGAAAAAATGATATGCTTAAATCCAGGTTTGAGTACCCCAATGTAAAGAATTATAAATCTTTGGTGGTTGCTTGAG